AGACAACAAGTGGAAGTGTGTGTGTGTGTATTTGGCTAGAAAAATACACTGTGCCTGGCAACGGGAAAGGGGGAAGGGGAACCAGGGCAACAAACAAGCAGCTCCTGTGGGGGTAGCGCTACAGATACTATGGTAACCACCCCAGCCTGTTCTGTGGTTCTGTTTATCTTTCTCCTGCCTCAGCTGTCTGCCTGTTATGACTTTTGCCACCTACATTACCTGGGTCTGCAGCCATTTGAATACTGCCTTACTTGTAATTTGTGGATTTACTTAGGTGTCCTGTCTTTTTTTTCAGCTGCCACATGTAGGTCATACCTGAGGGCTGAGTGTTGTTGAAGCCCACATCTACTTAAAGCAGTCCCTGGAAAGCCCAATCACTATATAGAAGTTGTACCCTGGGGATCAAAAGCCTACTAGAGATGTCATAGTGCATCCATTACATTTTTGACATTTTGGTGAGGCCCCAGGAGTCTTTAACTCCCTTTTTGCTCTCTTTAAAAATTTCATTAGATGAGAAAAAGGTACAATTCTTTGACAGAAAAGGTCTTTGTGTCATGGCCACCAGCAGCAGAAGATGACAATGATGTGCAATAGTTTGACATTTTGAATAAGAAATGGATGACTAAGGAGGATAACTGATTCCTTTTTATTGGCAACAAGGCTAATATCAATATAATATCCAATTTTGCTCCCTATCTGGGCCTTTCAGACTCCAAATGTGTCTTTCCTTAGTGCCTTACTTACAACATGCCTTTGTTGTAACTATGTACTTATCTTTCATAATTTACCGTTTGAGACTGATCAGCAGTAAACATGTAAAACACTTTTTTTGATAAACGGTAAATCTGAGTCTAAGCAAAAACAGCTTTACCGATACTAAACCTTCAGGCTGATGTATGATGATACTTGAGACTAACCAATGACAATGTACTGTATGAGTAAGAAGATGTCTGATGCATGTTATGGAACATAAACGTATGCAATTAGAAGTTACAGGACAGTAAAATGACATAAAGTAGAAACAGTCCTAAACAGTATAGGTTATATGAAATTATATATCTTTAATAACAATTCTAGAAATACGCTGGTGGCTTCTGTAGCCCATACATTTAAAGCCTAACTAACTAAAAATCCTCCCACTGCAAGGGTCAAATGCTCGTTTACCTCTAGGGGATCAGGAAAAGCAGTTTTACTTACCTTATCCTCCATGCTGCAAGACTGGTCCCCGCAGCCTCGTCTCTCACTAAGGTCTGGTGTTCAGATGCCCTCTGCATTTCCCTGATTTGGATGTTAGGACGACAAGGTCCACTTCCAGAGCATCGGGGAGTACCATCTGCCAAGGGAACAGAGGATCAGATAAGTAAAATTGTTCTTCCCATCTCTAGACATAAACAAACATTTAACCCTTGCAGTGTGGGGCATCTCACTACAATGAAAGAGCTGTACTTTTTCCAGGAGTTGGGTTGTAAGTTATATATTCAAATTCGTGCAGCACTAAAAGAAAACGTACTCTTCACAAAACAGGGAGCAATTTGGAAATGTGTTACAGAAAAATACGTCCACTTAGGGCAGTGTTTCTCAACTCCAGTCCTCATGGACCCCCAACAGGTCATGTTTTCAGGATTTCCCTCAGATGAAACAGCTGTGGTAATTACTAAGGCAGTGAAACTGATCAAATCACCTGTGCAAAATAATGGAAATCCTGAAAACATGACCTGTTGGGGGTCCATGAGGACTGGAGTTGAGAAACACTGACTTAGGGAAAGGTGCAGGGAACAAATTGGCAACCAGGAGGGTTGGACCAATTTTATTCCTTATAAAATCACACTACCGTACTCAATGTCTCTAAACCTATTTCGTATGAACTACTTCACAACTTTTTAAATTTAATTTAAAAGAATGTATCCCTTGACAAATAATACAAAGATAACAATGGTAAATGAGAAGCTTCCTCTGCCTTTGTAAGTTTCTTTCAACTATCCAGATATGGGCAAATTACTTGTATAATAAAAAGATAGTGAGCACTCCTAAAACAGCTGCTAAAACACCAAAAGGTAACAAAAAAAACCCTTCAATATAAATAACAAGATAAAGGTGTAGCGCTAAAGGATAAATATTGATAAAAAAATATATATATAGAATTTATAATAAATAGTAATCAATAATAGGCTGTCCAAAATATATAATAAAATGAATGTCCACATGTAAAGTTCACATGTAAATAAATAAATAAATATAAATCCCAGGATATAATCGGCAGCAGATTGACTTGTGACTCCAACCAATAGTTAAAGTGCGCACTCACCGGAAGCGCATGGATAATGCGCATATAATATAAACCCTCAAGGTAAGCAGGATATTCAGGTGAACTTTTCCTCTATGGTGCAGTCATCAAGTCGTTGGGAATAGTAAAGAAATCTGCTGAATCCAGAGGTCCCCTTAAAGATGGATTAGGTGCTCAGCCTGAGTACAGGGCTCCTTTTCCTCTGGTCACACTTGTAGCGCTGGGGTAACCTGTAGGCTTAATAGCGCCATGAAGGAGCCACAAAACAGGTGCCCATAGTGTAGTAGGTTCAGTGAACTTTTATTGAAAGACAGTAAATTGAGCAGGGTATAATAACATCCATATAAAATTACCCTCAGTTAAAATGGCCGCCGGGTTTCCTCCTAGCTCCGGCGGCCGTGATGTCACATGCTGTCTGGTTCCTCCTGAGGCCTTTCGTGCAATGGCACTTCATCAGAGGGATGAATGTATTGACTAACCATATAAGAACATGGTAAATGCTAGGGGGTAGGTTCTGGTTAGACACCACCTTGGCCCATGGCAAGCCCTAGGGATTTGTGAAGTTCATGAATCTTGAACTTTTGGTGAAAAACATTTTAGTTCATCACCAGAATTATGGTACAAACTATAATGCAGCAAATAGCCTTTGTCATTGTTCAGCCGAGTCAAAGAAGCTAATTATTTGAAAGAACAGATAATTCTGTCCCCTTTCTATAAAAGAGTGGGCTCACAGCAGTCATATTGGCAGTGTATGTTGGAGTTGTTAATGAGAGCTGGCAATTCTATGTAGGGGGAGGGTTTTTTTTTAAATTTTTTAATTTTGGCATGGGTACATGTTCCTTTTTGGCAGTGCCCGACTTCCAGTGCCTTTTGTTTCACAATGCCATGCTTAATAGTCATAAAAATTGCAAAATTAAATAATAAACGTTCAAACTTTTAAGTAAGATTCATGGAATTCTTTGCAAATTGAACCCAGATACATTTGCTCATACTTCGTAAATACACTAGTACAATCCAACTGGTTTCACTTGAGGGACCTCTTATAACTGCTCCAAAGTACATAACTGTTTCATCCACCTTATATACTTAGACTAAAATCAGAGAACAAAATAACGATCTTTAAAACAAGCAGTTTAATTACTTGCAAATTAGCACAGTATAGCTTTTCTAATCAAGGACAAAGACCTTTCTAAGCCTCCTGGAAACTTGCCTCTTGTTTTCACAACATTTCTTCTCATATATTACACTCCTGTGTAATTAAAAGGGAAACTGATTATCCACACATAAGTTGTTGGAAGGCTGGACTGATCTCTGGAAAACTGTAACTAAATGCTCAATAAATACACTTATTTAATCAACGTGCAAGGTTTTTTAATGATATGGTTGCGTGTACATTCAGGTATATCCCATGTAAATGTAAAATACCATAACCAGTAATAACAATATTTACAATTCAGTGGAGCTTACATACAACTAAAATCTACATATGTTATAAATATGTACCAAAAGTAAAATTTAGTTGTAGTTCCAAAACAAACCCTGTTACCCCATCTTCCTAAAAACTATACAGTTTTTACAAATGATATGAAAATTGATTGTGTCTGAATACATTTAAGCATGAGAAGACAACTGTTCCGTCTAAGGAGGAGTGGTTTAAAGCTTGATCACTTATGAGGATACAGTAATCTCCACTACAACCAAAAAGTAATTAACCTGATTTAACCTGCAGATCAGTTAGACTGCATATGGTCAGTTTATTATGGTTCCAGGTTGTGTTCGGAGTTTGTTGTTTCCAACTTGTTTCTAAATGTATGTGTGTTCCCACAGTGTCTTTTCCAGTATGCACACACACAAACACTATATAAATATATATATTCATATTGTGTCTAAAGGCTTCAGCTTATAAATGTTTGTTCATGGTCTGTATCTGAAGTCATTTTTTTTAGTTATGGATGGAGCATGGAAGAGTTTGAACTTTCTGTTTATGCCCGCATTGGGGCAATTCACCTTCTCTAATTGTACTGATGACTATTGTTTTTGAGGCAAAAATAAATTAGAATGCACATTTTTTGGTTGTCATCTGAAAAGAGGTAAGGTTAATCTCCCTGTGGAGATACCTGTGAAAACTGTTGAAGTGGGGATTTTTGCTCTGATTTCCTTTAGCTACCTGTTGAGCCTATGGCACACGAAGTGAGGGAAGTTCTCACCAATGGAGCACAGAATAAATAAATTGATTAAAAAAGACAGGGTGTGTAATCAAAACGTGTGGCATTGATAACTAGATGGACTTTTGTCTTTTTTCAGCCAGACTAACTATGTAACTATGATAAATATAAGCAAATGAGTAATTGCACTGTATGTTCTTATGATGTTTTCTGCTGATGAGGAACTAGAAGTGTATAAACCGTTGCTTTTGAGATGAAGCTAGGGGTGGCTCATGTTATTAGGTAGAGTGTTACATGGCCTATATTATGTCTATTACTTAGTACATTTGTATGCTGTATATTTCTAAATGCATTGCTAAAATTCTTAAACTGTATCACGGATTGCCTTGAGTCATGTAATATTCATGAATGAATACATACCATCTTTTAGTCAACTGGCTTAGGCCAAGCTTCCCAACCAGTACAGTCTATAAACTAACATATTCATAAAAAATGTTCAGTGATTTACCGATACTAACATTTCTGCTATACACATCCCATCATCTTCACAGCTTACAACTCTCCGGGGGGCAGTTTTAGAAGATGCAGTACCATCAACAGCGAGGCATGGTTCAGCACGTGGCCTTCCTCACAAAGAAGTCCTTGAATATGTCATACCAGAGCTTAATGTGCAGTGCCTTCGACAAGCTCTGAACTCCCCAAAGGTCCCAGAGCAGCTGCTCAAACTTGATGAACAAGGGGTATGTCATGGCTAGATTTACTTACTTGTTTTGGTGTAAGAGTCAAAATGTAATTATCAGCTGGATCTTAGTATTTTGTGACCTTTTTTCTCTTACATGCATTGTTGAATACAAAAAAAAAGAAAATATAGCTAGTTTTACTCATCACGTTATCAAAAATCTCCATGATGCTATCACAAGATGACATCCTTAAAGCAGTTCTAAAGGTTCATTTTTTTTTTTGGTGGAAAATAACAAACATGCTATACTTTCCTACTGTGTGCAGTGGTTTTGCACAGAGCAGCCTGGATCCTCCTCATCTCGGGCCCCTCGCAGGCTCTTCTGGCTTCTCACTCCTGTCAGGTGCCCCCATAGCAAGCTGCTTGCAATGGAGCCGTGGCTTGGCCCCGCCCCTCCCCCTTTCTCTTCTCATTGGCTGACTGGCTAATATAATAGCATGGTGCAATAGTACTGTGGGAGCAATTTCTCCCATTCACTTCGAGTGTGTGGATGAGGGAATCGGATCTTTTTTTTGTTCAATCCATGTTCAAAGTTGCTTAACCTCCCTGGCGTATGATTATTTCCGATTTTTGGTGCTGAAAGCGGTACCATTTTTTTGCATGGAAATATGTAGTTTTTTTATTGTAGACTGTAATTTTTAGGAATAACTCACTGAAATCTGTCCGAACAAGTCTAGTAAACATTCTGGATATGATAAAACTTGAAACACGAAATCATAAATTATAATTTAATTAATAACCATAAAAAATAATAATAAATTTAATTAATATAATCAAACCAAAAACACTGAAATTTGAAATACAGAGGCAAATTCGCACATCGTTTTCAGTGTATGATGACGAATTTCCCCACAAATCATTATCACTCAATTCTGCAAGTGGTTCTAATTTACTATCGCTGTTCTCTAGCTGGTCTAAAACCGCTTTTGACATAAAGGGATGCTTTTTGGACACCATGGACTTTTCTAAGTTTCCAGGCAGAAAGAACAGACAAAATGCAGGCAGGGCACAGGCCAAAGCAGTAGGGACAAAATATATGTGAAATGCATTGAAACAGCAATGTTTTACTATATAATAATCATTTTTAAAAATTTCAAATTTGCCACCGGTTCCGGCGCCCGTACGTCCCAACGTCACAGGGACAGGAACACGGAAGCCGGATGCCGGCATCGGCTGGAGGAGATGGCTGAGGATGCTGCAGGGGACACATCGCGGGAGCGAAGGACAAGGTAAGCGCTGCAGGGACTCCCTGAGCAATGCTGCATGGTAAGCTCGAGTGTAGCTCGGGGTTACCACTCTTGGTACTGAAATTTTACCCCGAGCTACACTCGGGAATACCGCCAGGGAGGTTAAATCCCTTTCCTATTCTGATTTGTCATGTGATTGGATGATTAGCAATTTGTGTTACTAAGCAACTGATCAGGTGTATCTAATAAAGTGGCCAGTATCTCACAGAAGTGAGTACACCCCTCACATTTTTGTAAATATTTTATTATATCTTTTCATGTGACAACACTGAAGAAATTACACTTTGCTACAATGTAAATTAGTGAGTGTACAGCTTGTATAACAGTGTACATTTTCTGTCCTCTCAAAATAACTCAACCCACAGCCATTAATGTCTAAACCACTGGCAACAAAAGTGAGTACACCCCTAAGTGAAAATGTCCAAATTGGGCCCGAAGTGTCAATATTTTGTGTGGCCACCATTGTTTTGCACTCCTTCATGACAACATCACAGAGCTGGTGGATGTTTGAGATCTTGCGCTTCTCTACCTTCCATTTGAGGATGTCCCACAGATGCTCAATAGGGTTTAGGTTTGGAGACATGCTTGGCCAGTCCATCACCTTTACCCTCAGCTTTTTTAGCAAGGCAGTGGTCATCATGGAGGTGTGTTTGGGGTCATCATGTTGGAATACTGCCCTGCAGCCCATTCTCCGAAGGGAGGGGATCATGCTCTGCTTCAGTATATCACAGTACCTGTTGGCATACTTGGTTCCCTCAATGAACTGTAGATCCCCAGTGATGGCAGCACTCATGCAGCCCCAGACCATGACACTCCCACCCAGTGGTGTATTATGGTTTTGTGCTGCCCTAGGCAAGACTAAAATTGGGCACTCCCGCATCTAAATTTGTCCCAAACCTTCCTCCACCCCTTCATCTGTAAACGTCCTCTTTAGACTCCACCTCTTCCTATTATTGCTCCGCCCACTGACACCAATGTTGGGGCACTATTCCTCCCACTGACACCAATGATGGTGCCCCATCATTAGTGTAAGTGTGGGAGGAGTAGTGCCCCTTCATTGGTGTCAGTGGGAGGAATAGTGCCCCATCATTGGTGTTAGTGGGAGGAATTGTGCCCCATCATTGGTGTCAGTGGGAGGAATAGTGCCCCATCATTGGTGTCAGTGGGAGGAATAGTGCCCCATCATTGGTGTCAGTGGGAGGAAAAGTGCCCCATCATTGGTGTCAGTGGGAGGAAAAGTGCCCCATCATTGGTGTCAGTGCGAGGAAAAGTGCCCCATCATTGGTGTCAGTGGGAGGAATAGTGCCCCATCATTGGTGTAAGTGGGAGGAATAGTTCTCCCTGTATTAGTGTCAGTGGAAGGAATAGTGCCCCATCATTGTTGTCAGTGGGAGTAGAAAATGTCTCATCATTGGTGTCAGTGGGAGGAAAAGTGTCCCCTCATTGGTGTCAGTGGGAGGAAAAGTGCCCCCTCATTGGTGTCAGTGGGAGGAATAATGCCCCCTCATTGGTGTCAGTGGGAGGAATAGTGCCCCCTCATTGGTGTCAGTGGGAGGAAAAGTGCCCCATCATTGGTGTCAGTGGGAGGAATAGTGCCCCATTATTGGTGTCAGTGGGAGGAATAGTGCCCCATCATTGGTCAGTGACACCAATGATGGGGCACTATTCCTCCTACGGACGTAAATGATGCTTACATTGCTGTGCTGACCTCTGCTCCAGCCAGGGCTCCCTCACTCTCCCAACCACAGCCAGCATACCTGACTGCAGAAGCACCATCTGCTCTGCCCAGATCCCAGCTGCACAGACATTTACCTTACCGATTAGCTGTCTTCCTTCTCTGACCGCTCTCCTCCTCTTCACTGGCTCCGGCTGGTCCCTCACTTGATCGTCTTCGATCTTCGTGCTGCCGCTCGGCTCCTCCTCTCTAAGCTGTGCCTCGTCACTGGTGATTGGCCGCCTGTGTGCCTTTCCTGGGCTACATATCCGGCGGCCAATCACCAGCGAGGAGGTGGAGCTTGCAAAGGGAGGGACAGACTGCCCAGTGATCCCGGCAGCGTGGCCAGATGAGAGGGGCGGCATGTCATCCCACCCACATCACGATCATGATTCAGGGAGATGAAGACACTGGACGGACACCCTCTCCATCCCTCCTCCAGCAGCGCCCCGTGGACCAGAGTCGCGGACACAAGTAAGGTACAGCAGCCCCTGTCCCTTTCCCATGGAAGTGTCCCTTCTATGGGAAAGGGGGGGGGTGGCATCACCGCCGCCCCCCTGACAAGTGCCGCCCTAGGCAAACTCCTTGTTAGCCTCATGGCAAATACGCCCCTGCTCCCACCACCATGCTTGACTGTAGGCACAACACACTTGTCTTTGTACTCTTCACTTGGTTGCTGCCACGCACGCTTGACACCGTCTGAACCAAATAAGTTTATCTTGGTCTTATCAGACCACAGGACATGGTTCCAGTATCCCATGTCCTTAGTCTGCTTGTCTTCAGCAAACTGCTTGCGGGCTTTCTTGTGCATCATCTGTAGAAGAGGCTTCCTTCTGGGATGACAGCCATGCAGACCAATTTGATGCAGTGTGCGGCGTATGTTCTGAGCACTGACAGGCTGACCCCCCACCTCTTCAACCTCTGCAGCAATGCTGGCAGCACTCATACGTCTATTTCCCAAAGACAACCTCTGGATATGACGCTGAGCATGTGCACTCAACTTCTTTGATCGACCATGGCAAGGCCTGTTCTGAGTGGAACCTGTCCTGTTAAACCACTGTATGGTCTTGGCCACTGTGCTGCAGCTCAGTTTCAGGGTCTTGGCAATCTGCTTATAGCCTAGGCCGTCTTTATGTAGAGCAACAATTCTTTTTTTCAGACACCTGAGACCTTGTAACTCTAAGGAGTCACATGACACCGAGAGGGGAAATGGCTAATTGGGCCCAATTTAGACATATTCACTTAGAGGTGTACTCACGATTGTTGCCAGCGGTTTAGATATTAATGGCTGTGTGTTGACTTATTTTGAGGGGACAGTAAATTTACACTGTTATACAAGCTGTACACTCACTACTTTACATTGTAGCAAAGTGTCATTTCTTCAGTGTTGTCACATGAAAAGATATAATAAAATATTTACAAAAATGTGAGGGGTGTACTCACTTTTGTGAGATACTGTGTGTGTATATACAGTGGGGATCGAAAGTTTGGGCACCCCAGCTAACAATTTGTATTAATGTGCATAAAGAAGCCAAGGAAAGATGGAAAAATCTCCAAAAGGCATCAAATTACAGATTAGACATTCTTATAATATGTCAACAAAAGTTAGATTTTATTTCCATCATTTACACTTTCAAAATAACAGAAAACAAAAAAATGGCGTCTGCAAAAGTTTGGGCACCCTGCAGAGTTAATATCTTGTACTGCCCCCTTTGGCAAGTATCACAGCTTGTAAACGCTTTTTGTAGCCAGCCAAGAGTCTTTCAATTCTTGTTTGAGGTATCTTTGCCCATTCTTCCTTTCAAAAGTCTTCCAGTTCTTTGAGATTTCTGGGCTGTCTGTCACGCACTGCTCTTTTAAGGTCTATCCATAGATTTTGAATTATGTTGAGGTCAGGAGATTGGGAAGGCCATGGCAAAACCTTCAGTGTACGCCTCTTGATGTAATCCCCCGTGGATTTCGAGGTGTGTTTAGGATCATTATCCATTTGTAGAAGCCATCTTCTCTTTAACTTCAGCTTTTTCACAGATGGCATCAAGT